GGGCCTCATCCGGCCCCCGGGCCTTAGTTTGAGGACCCCTGGTCTAGAAAGTCATGCTTTCTCCACTCCTGGTGTCTTTTGCATAACTTCCTGTTGCTCAATTTGTTCTTGATTTGAGGATATTGGGAAAGACACTATGCTGCCATTACAGCAATAGAGCAACAGTATGGAACTGGTGCCAGTATTTTCTTCCACATCTGCATTCTGTGCTGGGACATTTACAGAAATATCCAAGTGGCAGTTTTAAGTTCATCCCTTTAAAGTGAGACCTAGGAGGACCATGATGTCATCATTCCCAGCTATATGTGTGTGTGCATGTGTGCACCTGCTTTCAGGTCACCTGCCAATTTATGGTAACCCTATTAATTGTATAAGATTTTCTTAGGTGAAGAATACTCAGAAATAATTCCTGCTACTGAAAAATAGCCGACAGCACTTGGTATTCATTGGCAGCCTCCCACCTGAGTACTTACCAGGGCCGGCTATGTCCAAGATCAGACAGGATCTGGTGCCATTACAGTGGTGGCAAACTTGTGACCCTTCAGGTGTTTTGGATGTCAGCTACCAGAATTCCTGGCCATTGGAGAAGCTGACTAGGGCATCTGGAGGGTCACAGGTTTGATCCCCTGCTTTAGGATATTTAGGCTCCCCTTTCCGCTATAATAAACTGAAGGAATTAAAGTGTGTCAAACACCTATTCAAGAGAGTAACTGATCTTCAAAGGCTAGGAAAACTATGCCTGAAGAAGGTGATGAAGACACTTTGGTAGATTGGAAACATGGGTGTTCTGTGTATGGCTATAGTTATTCAAAGGAAAAGAGGCTCTGTAGTAACAGAACAGTGTACAACAGGGGGGAAAGCTTAGAACTGTATTTTAAGTTCTAAACCTGTTTGTCATAACTGACTCTCAAATAATCTTGAAGATTTAATTGTAAACAGGTAGTAGAATCATAGAATCATAGAGTTGGAAGAGACCTCATGGGCCATCCAGTCCAACCCCTGCCAAGAAGCAGGAATATTGCATTCAAAGCACCCCCGACAGATGGCCATCCAGCCTCTGTTTAAAAGCTTCCAAAGAAGGAGCCTCCACCACACTCTGGGGCAGAGAGTTCCACTGCTGAACAGCTCTCACAGTCAGGAAGTTCTTCCTAATGTTCAGATGGAATCTCCTTTCTTGTAGTTTGAAGCCATTGTTCCGCGTCCTAGTCTCCAGGGCAGCAGAAAACAAGCTTGCTCCCTCCTCCCTGTGGCTTCCTCTCACATATTTATACAATGGGATTCCATATTTATTTATTTATTATTTATTTATTTATTTACAGTTCTTATATTCCGCCCTTCTCACCCCGCAGGGGACTCAGGGCGGATTACAGTAAACACATATATGGCAAACATTCAATGCCAGTTTGACAAACAACATTTAACAGACAAAGGCTATTTAACTTTTTTCTGGCCGCCAGGGGAGCTGCTGCTTTTCATCGTCCATCAACGACACCGATGAAGTTCTTCCGCATTCCACATTCCCCGGAGTCTTTTCTTTATGGCCTCATAAATTAGTTAAATTTAGCCTCCCACACAAGGTGGTACCTTATTTTCCTACTTGACAGATGCAACTGTCTTTCGGGTTGCAAAGGTCGACAACGGGCTACACAATGGCTGGACACCCACTCCAGCCCGGGCTGGCTTCGAACTCATGACCTTTTGGTCAGAGTGATCTTAATGCAGCTGACACTCAGCCAGCTGCGCCACAATCCCGGTGCTATCATGTCTCCTCTCTGCCTTCTCTTCTTCAGGTTAAACATGCCCAGCTCTTTAAGCTGTTCCTCATAGGGCTTGATCTCCAGACCCTTGATCATTTTAGTTGCCCTCCTTTGGACCTAATCACTTCTAGATGACAGATAAAATTGATCTGATGTTGCATTAAATGTGTGCTATAGACATGCCCTGTTCCATGTTGTGAAAATTCAAATTATAAAATTTTGCAAATATCAAAATACATGTATGAATATTAGGAATTTGAGACACATTCTATAATTCTTATTTTAGTTATAGAAAACGCATGAAAGTAAAAGTATTAAAGTAACAGATAATGTATTAAATTGTTAATTTTAAGTCTTAAATATAACATTTTAGGATTAGAAACACCTGGAAAAATGGAAGACGTTTTGGCAGAATGACTGTTTTTTGTTTAAATAGAAGATATTAATGATAGTTACAATTTGTTACTATTGAAACTAGGCTTTCATTATTTTTCTGTAGGATAATTGTTTTGTATGGCAAGTTATCTTTTATATATTTACTTTAAAAATTGATATTGCAAGTTTTTTTGTTTGATGTGTTTTGTTTAATGTTCAAAAGAATGGAAGAAGCTTAATTATGATTTATTTAGAGCAGCGTTGGAAAAGATTAAAATAACTTTATTTCCTCCATATTTCCTTCCTTATTTTCCTATTTTTTCCATTTGGTTTTTTTTCCTTTTTATGTACTTCATAGATTTCTATTTTTTGTATTTTAATATTAATAAAATATACTGAAAGAATAATTTGAGACACGCTCTGTGAGTCTCCTAGCTCAGATATTCATCAAAGATTTTAATTGTCTTTTACAAGCAACAAATTAATTGATTTTTTTTCCTGTGCAAACTGTTTTCCAACACATGAGCTAGCATTAATTTAATTTCCTTCTTTTAGGGAGCAGGTGATAGTTTTGTGGGAGCCCTGGCTTTCTACCTGGCTTATTATCCCCAACTACCTTTGGAGGAAATGGTGAAGAGAAGTAATTGTATTGCATCTATTAGTGTGCAAACAACAGGGACACAGACATCATATCCCTACAGAAAGAACCTGCCACAAAATCTATTTTAAGTAGCATTCCCACACTACCAAAATGGGCACCTTTTTCTTTGTTCGGGTAAGAGAATTATTAAGCAGGATTTTCAGCACATATATTTGTGTCTTATGTGGATTAATGGTAAAAAAAAAATAGATATGATTATTTTAAACTTAACCTCATGTGCACTACCACACCAAGAGGTTGAGAGAAAAATGTTTACAGCCATTCACTTTTAGATCTAGGAATACCCATGTTTATTGCTAAAATGAGGGATCAATTATAAGAGACAGCTTGTTTTGATGTTTCAATGCTGCCTTCATAAATGTTTCTAAAAATCAGAAGTTGTGATTTTAAACGGAAATACTATTTCCATTTAAAATGGAAATATATATTTTGTGAAATTTGTCTCTTTTCAGAAATAAAAGTTGTCAAAACTGGAATTGCTGTTCGGTGTTTATGTTGGAAGTGTAAGCACCACCATGCTAAAATAAAATTAACAAGAGAGGTACTTTGTTTTTCCTGCTTGGTCAGAGATTGAACTGGATGACCCCTGTGGCTATTCCAACTCGATGATTCTATGGTTCTAAGGACTAATTATGCAGCAAAGGATTGTAACAACAATCTTAATGCCTGCTTCTCACCTTGTTGGGGGAGGGAGGCTACTGAAAACAAATTTAGCATATATTCTCATGTATAAATCAAAACATTTTTGACCAAAAGTCAACCCCCCAAAATTGGGACAACACATGTAATGTTGGAATAGGAATAGAGACCAAGCGCAAAGGGAGAAAGTTCCTTTTAAAAATGGCCACCTCAGTCTCTCTGGAGAGAGGCTGCCATTCTGCTCCACACCTGAAATGGTGGACAAGCTACATTATGTATCCACTCCTGCTGTACACTTCAGTATGGGGGTGGGTGTGGGGAGTAGGAAGCTATGGGGGGAAAGAGTAATACGATAGGAGCTTCTTGTCTCTTTGTGCGGTAGTCCTCATAGAGCAGTTCCTCAACCTGGGAGTCTGGACTCCTGGGGGGGGGGGGGCACAGGAGGTGTCAGAGGGGTCTCCAAAGACCATCAGAAAACACAGTATTTTCTGTTGGTCATGGGGGTTCTGTGTGGGAAGTTTGGCCCAATTGTCTCATTGGTGACGTTCAGAATGCTCTTTGATTGTACGTGAACTATAAATCTTAGCAACTACAACTCCCAAATGTCAAGGTCTGTTTTCCCCAAACTCCACCAATGTTCACATTTGGGCATATTGAATATTTGTGCCAAGTTTGGTCCAGATCCATCATTGTTTGAGTCCACAGTGCTCTCTGAATATAGGTGAACCACAACTTCCAAATTCAAGGTCAATGCCCACCATTCCAGTATTTTCTGTTGGGGGATTTGTGTGCCAAGTTTGGTTCAATTCCATCATTGGTGAGTTCAGAATGCTCTTTGATTGTAGGTGAACTATAAATCCCAGAAACTACAGCTCAAATGACAAAATCCCCCCCCCCCAAACCCATCACTATCGAAATTTGGGCATATCGGGCATTTGTGCCAAATTTGGTCCAATGAATGAAAATACATCTTGCATACCAGATATTTACAATACGATTCATGACAGTAGCAAAATTACAGTTGTTTAGTAGCAACATAAATAATTTTATGTTTGGGGCTCACCACAATATGAGGAACTGTATTAAGGGGTCGTGGCATTAAGGAGGTTGAGAAACACTGTCATAGAGGCAAGGCTGCATTCTGTGTATTTTTCCCCCTTGCCCTATTTTTTCCAGGCTGCATTCACATTCTTTTCCCACATTTGTATTCCTTTCCTTATCTATATTTGTATAGAAGTAGATACTTTAAAGTCACCAATGCAATTTATACCCCTCTACGTATGCCACTGTAATCCTTCAAATAAACAGATTCTCTCCTTGTCTTTGGCTCTTCCTTGGTGTGTTCCCTTCGCATATTTTTGAAAGAATGGGAATAGTTGCTTGTTGTCTAAGTTTTATCATAAATTTATCCATTTGTTGTTCATTCGCTCAGTCGTTTCCGACTCTTTGTGACCTCATGGACCAGCCCATGCCAGAGCTCCCTGTCGGCCGCCACCTCCCCCAGCTCCGTCAGAGTCAAGCCAGTCACTTCATTTTCCAACAGTGCCCAGTCAGTAAAACTCTAAAAATGATTTTCCTGAAATTGTATTTGAGGAAAATTTTCCATCTATAGCTGTAGGAACAAACATTTTTGATGCACATAGATAATTCAACATCAGTGCTAAAATACAATGCACAAAGACAAAGGAATTTGCTATTTTAATTGAAATCTGTAAAAATAACTCAAAAGATAAATAAGTTATTGGTAACGATGTTCCAAAGCTAGACACCAATAACATTCTTCTTTCACATTGTTTTGGTTAGCATTGGTCTTCAAATCACAGGAGGCAATCATCTCAGCTTTCTGGGAACACTACAGGACCACCAACTGAATGTTTCCCTCCATGACTATGCCTCAAGTCCAATGAAATCATGAAATAATAACTATGTTCAAAGAATCAGTCATCATCTATATGGAGCGGATTTTTTTGTGTTCTTTGAAGAGGACACGCTGTTTAACTGTGGACACAAAAGAAGCAGAAAAGTTATTTATCAAGGGGCCTCATAAAACCTACACACATCTAAGCACATACATCCAGACAAAGCATTTAATGGTTCAATTATCAATCTGCCACTTGAACATAAGCATCATATTTATATCCATTACAGCTTCTATCCTGATTAAAAGTGCCCAAACGAAATCCCACTCAAGTTTACAATTACTGGTGATCAAACGCCATAGTTAGAAATATGGAACAGTCAGTTTGCATTCAGAGATTTACTTAAAAATAAAAACTGCTCAAAACCAAATAAAATTTTAGTACTTTCTCCTCTTATAATTCTACTTGGATTAATGTTATTGATATAACTACAACTAAACAAAGTGTACTTAGATGTTCTGTAACATCATCTTTCTTCTCATTTTGTCTGTACTAATACGTACATTCCTAGCTCTGTAAAAGCTGAAAATGGCAGGTGAAACGGGGAGACAAAGCAAATTATCAGCTCTTCAATGTCTGATCAACATCCTCTAATGTTCCTATTTAAAAACCTCTGCATAAGATAATGTTGTGACAATTTTTAATAACTGTAAAGTATACATAATGGCCAACTCACAAGGCAATAAAGTTCAGATGCTTCTACAATGACAGTGTTAAGCTAAAACTGAAAAGGGATCTGGTGGTACCTTAGATACTAACTGAAAGACTAAAGTTGACAGCATAAGCCAAGTCTATTCTCCATGTTTTCTACTTCCTGTGTCTGCTTCTTCCGACGTAATCTACAGTCTATGAAACCAATTTAGTTCTCCCAGTCTCCAAGATGTTACAAGATCCTTTTGCACATTGATATTCCAGACTAACATGGCTATTTCCCAAAGACATCTTTACTGATGGTTTAGACAGATGGTATGGTAAGGTCAGAGAAGCACACGTCAAGCCATTAATATTACTAGAGATCCTTACAAAGAAACAGTGTTCACCTCTCATATCACACAGGGGTGCAATCACCAGTGCATCACTGACACCATGTCCCACTGTCAACAGTAACAGGCAGCTATCAGAAGAGCAGCACACAACAATTTGCTGTGCCAGTTATCAGGGCAATGTTAGCTTCCAGCACTCAGAGTTCTTGTCAAACTGAGGCTGGAAGCAAAATATTTTATCATTTCAACAGAGGGACTAAGCTTGGAATCAATGGCTTTAACGTGTATAAACAAACCTCAAGTAAATAAACAGCATTGGGACAGATCAGATCCCAGATATGCTTTAGATTATTGTGTTGCTTTTTCAGCTTTTCAGACAGTTTCAAAACATTTAGACTTCTGTGGAAACTCTTCCATTGAGTAAACCAAAGCTTAAATTCTGTTTTTGCAACTTCTCGAAGACAGAAATGAGGTAACTCCACACATTGTTTAGAATTCAGTAGTGGAAGAAAAATTAGTTACAGCTGAAAGAAAACTCTCTATTATACACACACATATACACACACAACAAATGTTAATGGGAAAATCTTTATTAATATCACATACACGTGTCCTCTCTTGTATCCAAAGGTCTCAGGACAGCCTACCATAAAATCAATTTAAATTGTGAAACAGTAAAATAACTGATAATCTTATAAAAATATTAACTTATCTATCAAATTTCAACAAATTAAAACCATGAGTAAGGATACACTTGGATAAATCTGAACCTTTAATAAGAAGCCATGTATGGCCTTCCACTGAAATTAAGTCAGTATCAAGTGACAAACCGACCATAACAGGGGCACAACAGCTGAAAAAGCTCTCTCCTTTGTCATCCAATCTATTGCCCTCATTGTGGACACTGTGGCAGACCTCAATCTTTGAACATATTAAATAGCACGATTCTAATTTCAAGAAGTGATGTTCTTATGCAAGACTAGAACTTATTTCCCTGAAAATGGGTGACTGCAACTTCTACTCTGCTCCAGTGTGCACTATGACACTTCCTTTCTGTATGCAATTCATGTTCTTGTGTGTCTTAAAATCATTTCTCACTTATGGTGACCCTAAGGCAAACCTATTATGGAGTTTCTTTGCAGAATGTGTTAAGATCTGGTTTGCCCTTGCCATCCTGAGGCGTGGAGTATGTCCTTTCAATGGGCATCTGTGGCCAAACAGAGATTCAAACCTAGTATTCCTAGTACAACACTCAAACCACTATACAATGTCAGCTCTCTTTTGTTATGGGTATAGGTGATTTTAAAGAAGTCACTATGACCTTTTCCGGTGTTCCTATTAAAACAACCAGGATACTGAAGAAACAAATGTTTGCAGTAATTATTTGATTGTGCGTGCTATTCAAATCCAATACGTGGTTAACTTCTTACCAAAAGGATCGTATCTCAGCATAACTCGCTTTTCATCAAGCCGTGCTCTTTTTATGTTGAAAGCAAAACCTGTTCCTGCTTCACTCAGCATCCTCACAAGAATATACCTAAAACAATGAACAATACCAGAAATGAACTGTTTCTGTAATTAACTATTCTTACTGGCTTGCCATAATTCATTCTTTTATTTCTGGAAGTATTAAATGTAGCTGTCAAGTGACAAACAAATTTACTTTACAATTTCTATTTGAAGATAATATTGCATATTACCAGAACATGGATAGAACAGTTATTATACATACATTCTGAAATGCTGGAGCAATTAAATTATTAATATATATCTATCTAACATTAGTGGGGGATTAAAGCTTTTTCTTTCTCCCCCACTCCTTATTTCAAGATCCAATGACTCCAAGGGCAAATTTAGTTGTCTAAATTGCTCTCTATCTCTTTGTCATACCTCTGTGTCGATGTTTTCCAGCTTTTCTCAATTCCTCGCCGAGACTCAAAAATATTGAAATGTTTCTCTTAATGTCTACTGACACTATGAGCTTTAAGGTCAAATATGCTGGTATTTTTATTGCACTTCCTACACCCACTGCATTTCCCCCTTCAACCTCAAACCGTACAAAAAATTAAAGTTAGTCCTCAAGCTGGAGCAGACTTTTCACCTGGCAGGAATAAAACTGAACATTTAAATGTTATAAGAAATGCAACAAATGGATGTTTATTAATGAGCCCGCAATTGAGAGAACCTACAGCAACGTTGCTGAACCCCAGAACCCTCACTGTTGTTCTTGTGTGCATTCAAGTTGTTTCTGACATACAGTGACCCTAAGGTGAACCCATTACAGAGCTTTCTTTGCAAGATTTCTTCAGGGGAGGGTGCCTGTGTCTGCCTCTGAGGCTGAGAGAGTGTGGCTTGCCTAAGGTCACCCAATGGGTCTCCAAACCAAGCCAGATATTTGAAGCCTACAGGGTTGTCTCCAATTGGTATCACTCCGCTGATGGGAAACTGATTCAGTTAAAAGTTCAATTAGCAGAAAGGAGAAAGAGGTGATTTCAGCAATTTCCCCCTTCCAAAACTCATGTCAGCTAACCTTTTTGAACAACATGGGGAATTGTGTAGGAGGAAAGGGAGAACGTCATTGAAAACTGACACTTTCCCGTTTTACTGACAAAATAATCTGCTAGAGCTTTCCGTTAGCCAAACAATACCAGTTGGATACAACCCTCACACTGCAGTCCTCTGCAGGAACAATTCTCACTATTCCTTACTGAGGAAGACCGAGTTCATATCTGTTCCCTTGAAGTCTGTCTTTAAATTGCACATTCTTAATTTCACTGAGACACTAGGAACTGGAGGGACATCTTTCAAACACAGCAGGTGGTTGGCAACAGTTCCACTGATGCCTGATTTGTAAATGTTCTGCAATTGAACCACAAGACTGTGTTTTGATTCTTCCCATCACCACCACCTCCTCCTTGCAGCACTTTATATTTGCATAGGTCTGTGCTCTCTACAATAAAAACTCATTTAAATATTACTTGTTCCTGCAGAATGTTTTTTATTATACAGTACTTAGCCAGAAACTCATTTGTTTTTTCTGCAGTATCCTTGATATAACAATTTTTAATAGAAGGATGGGAGTTGTGTGGCCCTCAAATTTGGCTCTTGGACTTTCAACAGCCTTAGCCAGCATACCCAATATGATAGAATACAGGGAACTGGGGTGTGACATCTGGGGATCATATAATTGCCATCTTTAATCCAGGTGTAATATTTTTAAAAAGGAAAACAAATGACAGCCATCCCAAACCTCCCTTCAAGTCTCTCTACTGTGTGTTTCTACTTGATTAATATAGTGTTTTAGACTTCTTCAAAAATGCCATGGTTCCCAATGTTTGGAAGAAAAATCATCACTCTGAGGATGCTTGCCATAGATGCAGGCAAAACGTCAGGACAGAATGCCTCTAAAACATGGCCATATAGCCCAAAAAAACCTACAACAACCCAGTGATTCCGGCCATGAAAGCCTTTGACAAAATCATCACTGTTTTTCTCAGCAACATGGACATTTTGATCTATATCAGTAAAAAGAGAAGGAAGGAGTGTTGTGACACCATTAACAACAACTGATTTATTTCAGCATAAGCTTTTGTGAACCCATGGCATTTGTCAGATGCATAGACTAAAGCCTTGGTGTACAAGCATATATACAGACATGGGGGAAAGAGGAGAAGTGTAAAATGTAAGGGAAATGTAAAACCTGCTGGCCAGATGGTGGTTGTAAAGAGTACTCAAGAGGACAAACATAGATGACAAGTTAGTATACACACATGGATAAGCAAGCAAAAACAAGTATGGTATAAAAAAACATCTTTGTCTTATAGATATACTACTCTCAATAGTGTATGAGTAAGCAAAAAGCCAATCCAGATGTTCTGGTAAAACAAGAAGATTGATTACAGCAGTGGTCCTCAACCTGGGGTCCCCAGATGTTTTTGGCTTTCAACTCCCAGAAATCCTAACAGCTGGTAAACTGGCTGGGATTTCTGGGAGTTGTAGGACCCCAGGTTGAGAACCACAGGATTACAGTATGTAACACTGGGTTATAAATGTGATTTCCTAATTAGTTCTACCATAAAACATGGGAAAAGTTAATTAAACTGATTTTTTAAAATTAAATTGATAAATGTTTCTGTGGGACATCCTGCAGCACATTTTGCTATAGTTTTTCAATGAATATCTCAAGTCTCAACCAATTCAACATAGTTTGTGGCAGCCAGAAAAATGATTTTTCTGGAGTATAACACCCACTTTCAAAGTAAGTACCATACAATTAAACAGGAATAACACTTTACAAACTAGGAACATTTTTTTTTTGAAATTTTGCCACACAATGTTATTTATTGTCATAAAAACCATTATGCTCTGCTCTTGGTGACTTCTGCCTAAAACTCGGTGGGGGGGGGGGTAGCAATTTTAGGCAATGGCATCAGTATTTAAAACTGTAACATTGGAAGAAACTATCAAAGAATATACAACGTAACACATTCTACTGGAAATTAATCCTTTGGGGGAAAAATCTCATTCCTGAGCCAACTGGAAATATCCGAAATATGCCTAACAATTCCATTTCTTAGAGAATATATCTCCACCGGCAACATATAAAATGAGGTATACCATTGGCAGAATTCACCTCTTCTATGAGACTGGGAAACACTCTGCAGCCAGTTTCTGAGTGAGGCTGAAGAGTCCAGGGTTTCATTTGCTCTGGTGCCACAAAACCAGTGCAACACTGGAGTTAGGTCTATTAGTGTAGAATTCTATGTGTCTTGAGTCCCCTTCGGGTTGGAGAAAGGCGAGGTAGAAATGTTGCAAATAAATAATTTTTTTTTAGCACTAGAGATTGTTACGTCACATTCACTATTATTTTTATAAATGGAATATGCCCATGGCAGCCATGTCAGTCCTGCTGCATATAGGACAGACAATAGAGGTGAAGGATATACCCAATTAAGGTTTCTTCACTGATTGAGCCAACAAATGTTTATATGAGCAAAAATAGTACAGTGGGATAATTTATGCAAATTACCCACACTATCATCTGGAGAGTTGTGGGAACCATAGAATACCATGAAAGATAGCAGTGGAAGTGAGGGCTCATAAAAAATCTCTCAAACCCTACTTTTCATTTAATGGCATATATTAAAAATGTCTTTTAAAACTACTTATTTTAATGAAGGGTACAACTGGTGTCATCTGCATATCTGAGGTTGTTAATGTTTCTTCCAGCAATTTTCACCCCAGCTTTGCATTCATCCAGCCCCGCACATCGCATGATGTGTTCTGCATACAAGGTAAAAAGGTTGGGTGAGAGTATGCAGCCTTGCGAAAGGCGTACTGCAAGGCTGCATACTCTCACCAAACTTTTAACTTGTATGCAGAACACATCATGCGATGTGCGGGGCTTGATGAATGCAAAGCTGGAGTGAAAATTGCTGGAAGAAACATTAACAACCTCAGATATGCAGAAGACACCACTCTGATGGCCGAAAGCGAGGAGGAGCTGAGGAGCCTTCTAATCAAGGTGAAAGAAGAAAGCGCAAAAGCCGGGTTGCAGCTAAACATCAAAAAAACCAAGATTATGGCAACAAGAATGATTGACAACTGGAAAATAGAGGGAGAAACCGTGGAGGCCGTGACAGATTTGTATTTCTAGGTGCAAAGATTACTGCAGATGCAGACTGTGGCCAGGAAATCAGAAGACGCTTACTTCTTGGGAGGAGAGCAATGTCCAGTCTCGATAAAATAGTGAAGAGTAGAGACATCAGACTGGCAACAAAGATCCGCCTAGTCAAAGCCATGGTATTCCCTGTAGTAACCTACGGATGTGAGAGCTGGACCTTAGGGAAGGCTGAGCGAAGGAAGATCGATGCTTTTGAGCTGTGGTGTTGGAGGAAAGGTTCTGAGAGTGCCTTGGACTGCGAGAAGATCCAACCAGTCCATCCTCCAGGAAATAAAGCCCGACTGCTCACTGGAGGGAAGGATACTAGAGACAAAGTTGAAGTACTTTGGCCACATCATGAGGAGACAGGAAAGCCTAGAGAAGACAATTATGCTGGGGAAAGTGGAAGGAAAAGGAAGAGGGGCCGACCAAGGGCAAGATGGATGGATGGCATCCTTGAAGTGACTGGACTGACCTTGAAGGAGGGGGTAGTGACGGCCGACAGGGAGCTCTGGCGTGGGCTGGTCCATGAGGTCACGAAGAGTCGGAGACGACTGAACGAATGAACAACAACAACTGGATAAAATTGAAGTGTTTACTAATATTAATTCATAATTAACTTTGCTACAGAACTGTTAAGCTGAGAGGGTATAATTCACCCAAGGTCACCCAAGGGTTTCCACAGGCTTATATCGGGACCTAAATCTTCACATGTAACAGTCAGATGAATACTTCTTGCTGATTTTTTTTAAAAAAAGATAAATTGCAGAAAAAAACCTGTAACATCCATAAACAATAGTTATAGCAAAACTGTATCACCACAGCCGCAACCTAACATAACAGAGAAGAAAGGAAGTTTCTACTTACTTGGATTTGGCCTTGGCCACTGGTTTTGGCAAGGGGAAAAAGAGAGAAAATAAGTTATTTTACCAACATTTTCCTGTTACTTACTAAAATGTAAAATATTACTTGTCTGTTAGAAGTACCTTAGATAAACAAAGAAAAAATGATGAAAAGAAACCTTTGAATCTTCTTATAAATACATACAACTCCCAGGATCCCACAGCACTGAGCCATGGCAGTGGTGTTAAATCACGTCATTCTACGGTGTAGATGTACCAGTGGCAACAATTAAATACTTGTGTCAAGAGTGTAAAAGTTAATTGTATTTTAACTTTGACACAAATATTTGCATTTCTTTAATTTTTATATTATTCTTGTTTTTAAATTCCATTATATTGTTTTTGTTTTGTTTTTTGTCGTGTCAGAAGTAACTTGAGAAACTGTAAGTTGCTTCTGGTGTGAGAGAATTGGCCGTCTGCAAGGATGTTGCCCAGGTGACACCCGGATAATTTGATGTTTTTATCATCCTTGTGGGAGGTTCTCTCATGTCCCCGTATGAGGAGCTGGAGCTGATAGAGGGAGCTCATCTGCCTCTCCCCAGATTTGAACCTGGTCTTCAGTCCTGCCAGCACAGGGGTTTAACCCACTGCACCACCGGGGGCTCCATTGTATTGTATCATGTCACTATTAGATGTTAGGGACAGAGAGTTTCAACTATGCTGACGATTCATGCCATCACTACTAAAGCAGGGAATTTTTGAAATGGTTAAATGGAAGCCCTCCGAAGCTTTAGGTGCTCTTACTGCCTATTACAGGGAAAACCAGCCAATCCCTTATCCATCTAAAATGCAGACGTGCTTTTCACCTTAAGAACAGACAAGCGTCTCCAGCTCTCACGATCACCTGGAAGGAATCTTACTGGAGCATTGCAGCACACCAAAACTCTGAGCTTAGAAGAAGCACTGCTTGATTATCAAGCAAAAATTGGGTGCTAGAGATATCATACGAAAGTTGACTGGCACAATCTGGGGATCACAACCAGATACGGTGAAGACATCTGCCCTTGCACTTTGCTACTCTGCTGCTGAATATGCATGCCCAGTGTGGAATACATCTCACCACATTAAAGCACTGGATGTGGCTCTTAATGAGACACGCCGCATTATCACAGGATGTCTTTGCCCTACTCTGCTGGAGAAATTATATTGTTTAGCCGCACCACCTGATATCCGCTGGGAAGTAGCAGCCAGCAATGAAAGAACCAAGGCATTGACATCTCTAGCCCATCTTCTGTATAGATATCAATCAGTATGCCAACAACTTAAATCAAGAAATAGCTTCCTAAGATCTACAGAGATACTTGCAGGAACATCTCAGCAAGCAAGAGTCTAAAAGTGGCAGGCAAAAACTCAGAACCTCAATCAGTGGCTGATACTAAATGAGAAACTCCCTTCTGGGCATACAGAAGATTGGGCGACTTGGAAGGCGCTCAACAGACTGTGCTCTGGCACCATAAGGTACAGAGCCAACCTTAAGAATTGGGTTTATAAAGTAGAGTCCACGACATGTGAGTGCGGAGAACAGCAAAATGCAGTCTGAGCCTTGCCACATGCACAATGGAGGACCTTCTCACAGTGACACCACACTGGCCAGCTTCAGGTCAAGGGACATTCAGTATAATGCCAAGTTTTTAACGTTGTAGAGCCGCGGTGGCGCAATGGGTTAAACCCTTCTGTTGGCTGGGCTGCTGGCCTAAAAGTTGGGTTACTGACCTGAAGGTTGCTGGTTCGAATGCTTAAGATGGAGCAAGCTCCTGTCTGTCAGTTCTAGCTTGCAGGGACATGAAAGTAGCCTCACAGCAGGATGGTAAGACATCCGGGCATCCCTGGGCAATGCAGAGGTGGCCCTAGGTAATTTTCAACGGTAAGCAAACAGTATTTTGCCGTGCCCCCAACCAATCACTGATATATATTTTCTGTTCGTCGTGGGAGTTCTGTGTGCCATATTTGGTTCAATTCCATCATTGGTGGAGTTCAGAATGCTCTTTGATTTTAGGTGAACTATACATCCCAGTAACTACAACTCGCATATGTCAAGGTCTATTTTCCCCCAAGAGTGCCTCAAGAGCGCCCCTGGGCAAAATCAACTATACTGCAAATGCTTACTTTGCGTAATGGGTTGAGCCGCCCCTGGGGCAACGTCTCTATAGATGGCCAATTCTCTCACAACAGAAGTGACTTGCAACAGAAGCCTTCACAGCAGTGGCAACATCACTCTGGAATACTCTGCCACCTGAAGTCCGTGCCTTGCGGGACTTACCAGCTTTCCGCAGGACATGTAAGACATACCTGTTTCGACAGGCTTTTAATGTTTGATAATGCTGTTTTTAAATTGTTTTAAATTGCTTTTAAATTTTGTTAGATTTTTGCCATTCTTGTAAGCCGCTCCGAGCCCCAGGGGAGTGGTAACATAGGTAAAGGTAAAAGGTAAAGGTAGTCCCTGACATTAAGTCCAGTCATGTCTGACTCTGGGGTGTGGTGCTCATCTCCATTTCTAAGCCGAAGAGCCAGTGTTGTCCGTAGACACCTCCAAGGTCATGTGGCCGGCATGACTGCATGGAGCGCCGTTATCTTCCCGCCAGAGTGGTACCTATTGTTCTACTCACATTTGCATGTTTTCGAACTGCTAGGTTGGCAGAAGCTAGGGCTGACAGCGGAAGCTCACGCCGCTCCCCGGAATCGAACCTGCGACCTTTCGATCAACAAGCTCAGCAGCTCAGTGCTTTAACCCACTGCGCCACCGGGGGCCCCGTTTTTCTGTTAGTGGTACTCAAATTAGTGTGTGTCTTATAATCAATGGCATCTCGAAATTGAAGAAATATGGAATCCTTCCTGCTATGCTGATTGAGAAAGAAATATAAGATGTGTGCAAAATTTAGATAAAATATCTTCCTTTCACAGATACACAAATGCTGTTTTTTCTATCATCCCACTCATTCTTCATCTGTTTGAATAGTACAAAGGTGAATGGGCGGCTATGATTGCTGGGAAGCTATTGTAGTATGAGAAGTTCACCCTGTCCTTCATCATTTCCCAATCGTAATGCCGCAGTGGGTTAAAGCACTGAGCTGAATAAATAAAGTATGTTCTCATGTCACTTTTGACACGATTTTTAAAAACTTTGTGTGTGTTTTTTTTTTAAAAAAAACATAACTATTTATTTATTTACTCCATTTGTATACCGCATTTATCAGTCTGAGGCGGCGACTCAATGCGGTTTACAATAAAAAGCAACACTGAACAATATATCGGACACACATACACAAACAACACACATAATCATCAACGCCTCACTTAGAATCAGATCCCGTTCTCATAATCCTTTTTCATTCCTTGTTCAATGCCGTCAATAAGTTGGTTGTCATCACATAGTTATCCAAATGCCTGCTCATAGAGCCACGTCTTAACCCTCCTCCGAAACACCAGTAACGAAGGGGCCTGCCTGATGTCCACTGGTAGCGCATTCCATAGCCGAGGGGCCACTACCGAGAAGGCCCTGTCTCTCGTCCCCGCCAACCGCACTTGTGACGCCGGCGGAACCGAGAGCAGGGCCTCCCCGGACGATCTTAACGTCCTTACCGGTTCATAGGTGGAGATGCGTTCAGAGAGGTAAGTGGGGCCGGAACCGTGTAGGGCTTTATAGGCTAAAGCCAGCACCTTGAATTGTGCCCGGTAGCAGATTGGCAACCAGTGGAGCTGGCTCAAAAAGGGGGTGGTGTGCTCCCTGAGAGCCGCTCCCGTTAGCAACCTGGCTGCCGAGCGCTGGACCATCTGAAGCTTCCGGGCAGTCTTCAAGGGCAACCCCACGTAGAGCGCGTTGCAGTAATCTAGGGATGTAACCAGAGCGTGGACTACCGTGGCTAAGTCAGACTTCCCAAGGTACGGTCGCAGTTGGCGCACAAGTTTTAACTGTGCGAAGGCTCCCCTGGTCACCGCCGAAACCTGGGGTTCCAGGCTCAGCGATGAATCCAGGATCACCCCCAAACTGCGAACCTGTGTCTTCAGGGGGAGTGCGACCCCGTCTAACACAGGCTGTAAACCTATACCCTGTTCGGCCTTACGACTAACCAGGAGTACCTCTGTCTTGTCTGGATTCAATTTCAATTTGTTCGCCCTCATCCAGACCGTCACAGCGGCCAAGCACCGGGTCAGGACCTGGACAGCCTCCTTAGTAGCAGGTGGAAAGGAGTGACAGAGTTGGACATCATCCGCGTACAGATAACACCGCACCCCGAAACTCCGGATGATCTCTCCCAGCGGCTTCATGTAGATGTTAAACAACATGGGGGACAATATTGAACCCTGCGGGACCCCACAAGTCAATGGTTGTGAGGACGAGCAGGTGTCCCCCAACAACACCTTCTGGGTACGATCCTCTAGGAAGGACCTGAGCCACTGTAAAACAGTGCCCCCCAAGCCCATTCCGCGAGGCGTTCCAGAAGGATACCGTGGTCGACGGTATCGAAGGCCGCTGAGAGGTCCAGCAGCACCAACAGGGACACACTCCCCCTGTCGAGCTCCCGGCGCAGATCATCCACTAAGGCGACCAAGGCTGTCTCGGTACCATGCCCCGGCCTAAAGCCAGACTGTGCAGGATCCAGATAATCCGTGTCTACCAAGAATGCCTGGAGTTGTGAGGCCACCACACGTTCCATGACTTTGCCCAAAAAGGGGAGATTGGAAACAGGCCGATAGTTGACGAATTGAGTGGGGTCCAGTGATGGTTTTTTCAACAGCGGTTTTATCACAGCTTGCTTTAAGCTGGCTGGAATTTTGCCTTCCCGAAGGGAGGCATTAACCACCACCTTCACCCACTCGGCCAATCCCCCTCTGGCCTCCTTCAGAAGCCAGGATGGGCAGGGGTCTAGGATGCATGTGGTAGCTCTCATTCCTCCAAGCACCTTGTCCACATCCTCGGATTGAACCAATTGAAATGAATCCATCAAAACCGGACAAGCAGATGCTCGTGTTACATCCTCTGAGACTGCCGTTAACATGGTGTCCAGGTCGGAACGGATCAAAGCGACTTTGTCCGCAAAGAACCGAGCAAAAGCTTCACAGCGGGCCGTCGAGTTGTCAGGGTTCCCATCCGACTTGGTGGGATTTAAAAGACCTCTGACAACTCGAAACAGCTCAGCCGGACGGTTCTTTGCGGACGCAATATTGGCCGCAAAGATGTTAGCTGCCTCTGGGAGAGAGGTGGGTTAACATAAAGGAAATAATAACAATTAATAACAACAATATCTTGCAGGAATCTTGGGATTTGTAGCTTAGGGTGAGAAATCTAAAATCTTTCCCTACATTAGAAATCCCAGGGTTAAAATAAAGTAAATAACAACAACAACAACATTAATAACAACAATATCTTGTAGGAATCTTGAGGTTTGTAGCATAGGGTGAGAAATCTACAATCTTTCCCTACATTAGAAATCCCAGGATTCCCACAGGATGTGGCCATGCCAACTAAAGTGGAATGACAGTGCTACAGAGAGGCACTGAGAGCAGTGCTTGGAAAGACCTCCTCTTCCAGGAAATCTTTTGGACTTCCACTCCCAGAAGCCCCAGCCAGATTCAGAGAAGAGTGGTATCGTTGTGTCTCTTCGGATGAGATTTATACACAGGCACCGCGCGACCTTCCCTTCGCTCCACTTACAATTGGCTGCCGTGAGGAACATGTTGCTACCAAGCGCCCGCCAAGGAGGAGGGGAGGGGGGGGGCGACCAGAAGGGCCCCAATCGCAGTCCCTCTCCGAAAGCGCCCAGCACTTCCGGTGCGCGAGTGTCGTTCGTCACTTCCTAGACGCGAGGCAGCGCGCGCAGGGCGAGAGGGGCGGGGCTGTGTCTCTTCCTCGAGGCCTTCCTTCTCTCTCGTTGACTGCCTCAAAGACATTGGCTGCTTCTCTTCGTGATAGTCCCAGGATTTAGAGTTCTACAGCACGCATGGCAAAGTTGGGCCCTCCAGGTGTTTTGGACTTCAACTCCCACCATTCCTAACAGCCTCAGGCCCCTTCCTTGAGGGGGAAAAGGAAGGGCCTGAGGCTGTTAGGAATGGTGGGAGTTGAAGTCCAAAACACCTGGAGGGCCCAACTTTGCCATACCTGATCTACACTCACCATATAAAGTAAGTAAGTAAGAAGGCCTTGAAACTGCATTGCATGGCAGTGTAGGTGGGGCCTGAGCCTCATCTATTGATACATCCATTAGGTTAGGACCAATGCAGAGCAGTACGAAAATATTTGTTTATCTATCATCTATATAAATAAAAATGTAATGTTCTTTTGTGGGATTAACATAACTCAAAAACCACTGGAAGAATTGACACCAAATTTAGACACAATACACCTATCAGGCTGACAAGTAGCCATCACGCATAAAACACTGAAAAACACAGCAGAAGAGACTTAAAAAACCAAAAACTAAACAAATATATTTTACAACGCATGCACAAAGCTACATATATATATATGCAAACACAAATATATACACACACAAAAAATATACACAGTCTGGGCCACAGCAATGCATGGCAGGGGACGGCTAGTATATAAATTAAATGTAATGTTCATTCGTGGAATTAACATAACACAAAAACCACTGGAAGAATTGACACCAAATTTGGACACAATACATCTATCAGGCCAACAAATGACCATCACTCATAAAAACACTGAAAAATACAGCAGAAGAGACATAAAAAACCAAAAACTAAGCAAATATATTTTACAACGCATGCACAAAGCTACATATATATATATGCAAACACACATATACACAAATATATACACACATATATACACACACAAAACATATACACAGTCTGGGCCACAGCAATGTGTGGCAGGGGACGGCTAGTATATAAATTAAATGTAATGTTCGCTTGTGGGATTAACATAACTCAAAAACCACTGAACGAATTGACACAATACACCAGGGGTCCTCAAACTAAGGCCCGGGGGCCAGATGGGGCCCTCCAAGGTCATTTACCCGGCCCTCACTCAGGGTTAACCTAAGTCTGAAACGACTTGAAAGCACATAACAACAACAACAATCCTATCTCATTAGCCAAAAGCAGGCCCACATTCCCCATTGAAATACAAATAAGTTTATATTTGTTTACATTGTTCCTCATTTTAATTATTGTATTGTATTTAAATGTTTTTTACACTACAAATAAGATGTGTGCAACGTGCATAGGAATTCATTCAAATTATTTTATAATCCGGCCCTCCAACAGTTTGAGGTACTGTGACCTGGCCCTCTGTTCAAAATGTTTGTGGACTCCTGCAATACACCTAGGCCAACAAGTGACAATCACTCCTAAAACACTGAAAACACAACAGCAGAAACGTAAAACGCCAAAAAAAAAGCAGCAAAAAGACACTATAGCACATGCACAAAACGACTCCCTCTGGCAAACAAAACACAAAAAGAAAGAAAGAAAAGGAAGGAAGGAAGAAAGGAAGGAAGGAAAGAGGGAGGGAAGGAAAGAGAGAGAGAAAAAGAAAGAAGAGAACCAGGGAGGGAAGGTTGGCCACAGCAATGCGTGGCAGGTACAGCTAGTGTTTATATAAATTACTATGCAGAACAGTCTCCCCAAGTAGACATGTTACGCAGTTTGGTTTAGAACAGAATGATGGACTTTGTGATTTGTGAATCCTAGATTATTATCGCTGATGCATTCCATCCATGCTACATTGAACTATATGAAGAGAAATATAGCTCTCTAGATTTTTCCTATCAATTACGCCAGAGTTTCTCAAACTACTCCTGCAGATGTATTTTACATATTTTGACACAGTCTGAATAAGGATTATAAACAAGGATTATGGATGAATGGAGTTAAGCACTTTATATGTTTTAATCTGATTTTATTGCTTTATGTGTTTTATCTGCTCATGTGTTTAATTATTGTTGGGGCCTGTTTTTGTTGTGATGTTTTTATACAGCATTGGATTTTGCCGAAGTTGTAAGCTGCCTTGAGTCCCCTCTGGGGTGAGAAAGGCGGGGTATGATTGAAGTAAATAAATAAATAAACTCCCACAATTCCTAACAACTGGTAAACTGGCTGGGATTTCTGAGAGCTTATGTCCAAAACATTTGGAGGAACAGTTTGAGAAGCACTGCATTACACAGATCCTTTTTCATTTCTCTTTATGGTTCACTCTAGTCTGTCCAGCTTAATATGTTATTAAGCTCTCCTGAATGAGCACCATTTAAGGTTTTCTACACATCCACAAGGTTTTCTATACGTCCAAAAATAATGATAATAAATTTGTCAGACTATTAGAAAGTTCTAATAAGGGCTGTAACACAGCTGCTTTCCCAGGAGAAGGGAAAGACTGTGATTTGAAGGCTATGAGAACATCTGCTTGGTGGCTTACAGACTAGCATTTTAACAACCAGAACTTATAACTGGTAGGAAAAGTTCCTTCCAGCAACAGGTTCCTGCCCCAATAGTGAATGTTCAGACATAATTACTGGATTTCTTCTTGGATTTGAATGTGAGTCACATTTTGTGTTTAAAACCTCAGATTTTATATAAAGAAGACTGATATAATGAAGGAAAGCTGAGGCAATAAGGGAGGCCATAAACTACAACTTGAGGAACTGAAGCCCAGAATGAATGATAGTGTACAAAAGAAGCAGGACACTTGGGCTACTTCAGTGTCTCTGCTTGCAAAACAATTTCATCTGCCTCCTCTTTCTCTCAGGCTGGATTACACTGCCAAATAATACAGTTTGAATAATGCAGTTCAAACAGCATTGTATAGGTCTACACTGAATTATTTGGCAGTGTAGATCCAGCCACAGTCTCAGGTTCAGCTGCTATAAGAAGTACTATGAGTTTAACTATCGTAACTTAATTAATGGAATTACAGGAGTTGTAGTTTTACAAGACATTTAATATTTTCTGACAGTCAGATGTGCCCTCCATACTACAACTCTCAGTTAAACTGGTGTCAAACTGCATTGATTCAACAGTGTAGATCAGAGCTTTCAAAATATTTCATGTTGGTGACACACTTTTTAAACATGCATCATTTTGCAACACAGTAATTTAGTTTTACTAGCAAACTGGAGTTTAAACCAACCCCTTATAAAAATACGGACACATGCATAAATTTTAATAACAAAATGTATGGGGATACAACACATCTCATCAAAATCTTTCATTTATTTTTAAAATATATATGCTTTTTTGCTTATTTCACATAGATTCAGAGGCTTCTCATTACACATTCACGTGACATGCCTCCACACTGCAGCCAACACACTAACATGTCATGACACAGGTTAGAAAACTCTCATGTAGATGCACCTATGCCTCCTCCTCCTCCTCCTCCTCCTCCTCCTCCTCCTCCTCCTCCTCTTCTTCTTCTTCTTCTTCTTCTTCTTCTTCTTCTTCTTCTTCTTCATGTAGGAGGAGAAGCTTAACGTGCCCACCTTATTTCCAGACTCTCATTGCAGTTCTTACTTGGCTGCCCATATCTTCCCCAGAGCCTGGGCAACATTTATCAGCTTTGTATTCTGTGGCAGCATGTGAAAGTGATCAGTTCAATAATGTCATAGTTCTGTTTGCTTAAAGAAAATGATTCCAATGAAACAACAGACATGTGAAAAAGTCCTAGGTGTGTGAGTCCCACTTAAATTGGTAGCAATTTAATGATAACACTGTTCAGAGTGGACTGTTTGGATATTCCTCTTGTGGTATTAAAATGTTACCAACACATGCCTTGACTTACTGCTCCTCCATCAAAAATATGTTTACCCTCAATGTGTATGCTTCTTATGCAGGAATATGGCTGTTCACATCAGTATTAGTGGATCCCCTGGTGGCGCAATGGGTTAAACCCTTGTGCCGGCAGGACTTCTGACTGAAAGGTTGGCAGTTTTAATCTGGGGAGCGGGGTGAGCTCTCGTCTGCCAGCTCTAGTTTCCCATACGGGGACATGAAATAAGCCTCCCCCAGGATGGTAAAACACCTGGGTGTCCCCTGGGCAACATCCTGGCACCTCCTCTCAGTTCATGTACAAAACCCAACCAGAAAGTTGAACTGTTTTCCCCACTGGTGATGGGGTAACTGCCTTAGGAGGTGGTTTCTTTCAATACCTTCCCATTCTCTCCCAGCGACTGCCATCTGGGGTAATTGCCTTAACCTGGCTAACCGTAGGGACAGCCCTGAATATTAGAAAACAAGGTTCGGCACGAACTACAACGAAGGCAGTCGTAACATAGGAAACAAGCAAGATATTTCTGGTTCTGCTCACCCTCACAATTGCAGGAGGTTATTATGCATACAGTGGGATGCAAAAGGTTTCCCCCTCCCTATTTCAGTTAGAGAAATTTAATGTGGGAATTAATATTAATGTTCCAGGTCCTTGAATGTTCAGCAATTATCAGTGCAACAAATATATGTCAGCTTGACATGCTGAAAACACAATAATGAGGCCAAGAATGAATGCATAATAACAGCTAGTTAAAGTGATATTATGTGGCAGGGAAACAAATGGATGACAGTAAGACTGCGTTCTGGAGTTAACATGACATCCTCATTGGGAGGCTGTTTGACAGACCGTTGGTAGTTCTGCTGATTTTATTCTATGTCTTGCACTTTGCTTTCATTTCAATTATAATACAGTCCAAACTATACCAGCCTTCTGAACAGTGCTGTAGAAATCTAGATCTATGACACAAATAATAGGTTTCCAGGAACATGTGAAACGAGAGATGGAATGTTTGAGATGATGAGATTGTACTGCTCTTTGGATTCTTTTGCCCAATTTATTT